CTAGGGAGTTCCAGAAAAACATCTACTTCTACTTCATTGACTATGCTAAAGCCTTTGATTGTTTTGAATCACAACAAATTGTGGCAAGTTCTTAAAGAGATGGGAGTACCTGACCATCTTATTTGTCTCTTGAGAAACCTGTTTGCAGGTCAAGAAGCAACAGTGAGAACTGGACACGGAACCACTGATTGATTGGTTCAAAATTGAGAAAGGAGTTCAGCAAGGCTGTATACTGTCGCCCTGCCTATTTAACTTATATGCAAAGCACATCATGAGAAAGGCGGAGCTAGATGAATTACCAGTTGGAATTAAGATTGCTGGGAGAAATATCAACAACCTCAGGTATGCAGATGATACCACTCTCATGGCAGAAAGTGAAGAGGAACTAAAGATAGACTCTTAATGCGGATGGAGGAGAGCACAAAAGTTGGTGTGAAACTCAACATTAAGAAAACTAAGATCATGGCATCCGGTCCTCTCACTTCCTGGCAAATAGATGGGGAAGAAATGGAGGTAGTGACAGATTTTATTTTCCTGGGCTCCAAGATCACTGCAGATGGGGACTGCAGCCAAGAAATTAAAAGACACTTGCTCCCGGGGAGGAAAGCTATGGCAAATCTAGATAGCATACTAAAAAGTAGAGACATCACCTTGCCAACAAAAGTGCGTATAGTCAAGGCTATGGTTTTCCCAGTTGCAATGTATGGCTGTGAAAGTTGGACCATAAAGGAAGACTGAGCGCTGAAGAATTGAGGCCTTTGGTGCTGGCAGAGACTCCTGCGAGTCCCTTGGACTGCAAGGCGATCATACTGGTCAGTCTGGAGATCAACCCTGACTGCTCTTTAGAAGGCCAGATACTGAAGATGAAACTCAAATATGTTGGCCACCTAATGAGAAGGAAGGACTCCCTGAAGAAGAGTCTAATGCTGGGAACAATAGATGGCAAAAGAAGAAGGGGATGGCAGAGAATGAAGTGGCTAGATGGAGTCACTGAAGCAGTTGGCATGAGCTTGAGTGGAGTCCTGGGGATGGTGGAGGACAGGAAGGCATGGAGGAATGTTGTCCATGGGGTCATAATGGGTCGGACATGACTTCGCGACTAGCAACAACAAGCGATGGAGATTGGCAGCCACACAGCATGTATTCCATAAAAACAGATCCTGCCAGACAAACCTTATGGATTTCTATGAAAAGGTTTCAAGGTGGCTAGACAGAGAGAACGTGGTAGATGTGGTTTACCTGAATTTCAGTAAGGAGATTGATAAAGTGCCACATGATATCCTGGTTGAGAAATAGTTTAGCTTTGGGATAGATCTATGCACTATCAGATGGATTAGGGCATGATTGTCGGACCACAAGCAGAGGGTGACCAGGATTGTTTAGATTCTCAGCTCTAAAAATAAGATGGTAGAGTCCGACACTGTTAGTTGAAACATGTCCTGCTTACCTGAAACATGTTGGGAGGACAAACTGGGATGCCCTCTTGTTTCACCAGCAAGGTGAATGCAGTCCTATATTCATTCTCTGTATGTGGCCATAATGCTTTATTAACTGGTTTTCATGCTGAAAAAGTTAAACTTTGAACCTTGAGTTTTATAAGATACAGCTGCCAATACCAACTTCGTATTTTGACATGATGTGTGGATGAAGCGGCATATCAAAGAGAGAAGAATTTTGATCGTTGTAGAATAGATATTTGAAAAGAGAAAAAATAACGAGGATTCAAGATCACTGAATGCAGAATATTATCTACTTTCATGAATATCCCAACCTTTCAATTAGTTTCAAGGTATATAGGAGAACCTGTAAAATACTAAGCTAGCTATCCTTCCCATTTTAAATATAAATATATATAAGTTATGTCCTTTGCCCTACAATATCACTTTTTTAATCTAATTCAATACTTAAGCTAGCACAACCCATCTGTCCAACAACATTCTTTTCCATCCAGTTTGGTTTGAACTGAATAATTTGAATACATTATAGAAAGAAACTCATTGTTTGAAATTCAGCAAGAATTGAGATGATTGTAGGCTCTGGGTATGGTAAAGGTAATTACTTTGTGGTTTGAAATAATATTTCTCAAATTTCAAGCAAAAGGTTATTTCCACATGTACAGTGGTACCTCGGCTCACAAACTCCTCAGTTCAAGACCAAATTGGGTTGCAAACAGAAATTTTGGAAAAAAAATTGTCTCAGGTCGCAAACTTACATCGGGTGACGACCACAATCACGGCCATCTTCCCATTTGCAGTAGCAGACAGACCTGTGGTCACTTGCTGTGAAGCTTATTGAATATTGGCTCCAAAGAAAGTGCAGCGCAAGCATGGTGGTAAAAAGAACATGCAGAGTGGTAATGAAGGTGACAGGAATGTGCAGATTTTTTGCCAAAATTGACCCTGCAGCTAAGAGTCAAAGAAGAGAGGAAACCCCAAAAAGAGATCTCCCCAGTGTTATTTTGGAGGGGGACTCTCCCTCCAAACAATAACCCCCCCCCACCTAGGTTAGTGTTCTCTACTGTACTGTACTTGTTACTTTGTTGTTCTTTGTTACTTTTTTTCAGATTTTTGTGATTAAAAAATATTTACAGAATGGATTCACCTTATTTTCATTGAACCTTATGGGGAAATTTGACTTCGCTTGCAACCAATTTGGGTCGCAACCAGAGTCGTGGAACGGATTAAGTTCGTGAGCCGAGGTACCACTGTGGTACCGTTTTATGAGCAATGGTCGCTTGTATAGTCAAATTATCATCTCAGCACCCCTGTGTTTGCACAAATGCCAAGGGTATCCTCAGGAAGAAAAGCAATGGCAATCGATATAGTGAGAGTATTTTAGGGATTTATTGATAGAGTAATGTGTTTTGAGTTTAACTTGAAGTACTCATTGCCCACAGCTGACTAAGATGAAGTTGGCTGTTACTGGTCACTGTGGGCAATTACAGATGTAGTATTTTTCCAGCACAGGCAATTGCATGCAGATCTCAGTCTAGCAATAGTATGTGCAAATTCCAGAGGTAAAATGTGTTTTCCACATGCTGCATGCTTATGAGCTATTGCTGTGCAAATATTAAAAGCAGATTAGATAGATGGCTTCATTTTATTCCTTCTGTAAGAATCTGTTTGGTGTACCAAGGCCCTTGTGGCATATATATGCAGCCCCCAGTCCAAATCCCCATGAAAACAGCTCCACAGAAGGCAGTAGCTGTGTTAAGCTGCGCTTCTGTCAGCAAGCTGAGCACTGTGGGTTTCTGACATGGCACTCAATTGCTAGCAGGTTTCTCTCATTGCACCTCATTTGCATCTGGGACATCAATTAGCATGTTTGTTGAGACTAATTGAATGAAACTCAATCATAGCTCTTAATTGCTTGACTATGTGAAAAGAAATCACATTAATGCAGCTAATTAAGTGTATGGCAATAGATGCAACATAATTAGGAGCAGAATGTAGAAAACAAGAGAAGGCAAAGGTGTGAGAGCACAGGCTGCAGGGGATTCAGAGGCTCCCTTACCTTTCTATTGCCACACTGGAGGAGGGGACAGTCCCTTCTGTGGGGTTTATAATGCTGTTGGATTATGAACACAGAAAACTTGAGAAGCAAAATGTAAATGGATTTGCAATTACTACTTTTTCAAGCTGTTGAGGGGCAGAAGATAGCACTTCTGGGGTGGGCCACTGTTGAGTGGGCTCTGGGGACTTGTTAAGTGCTGTTTAAAAGTGCTTGGCTTTGAATTACCCCAGTGTCTTGTTAAAGGTTCTCTCCCCCCCTCCCCGTTTTCTGCGATCAGCAGATCAGCATTTTCCACAACTAGCACCTCGTAGGGGAGTGTTCTTTGTAACATTTGCATATCAAAGCATGCTTGCTGGCTTCTGTTTAGTGCAACACATTCCAAATGACAGGGTCATCTTCATCTTTTTTCTGATGCGATCATAAGGTAAATCATTGTTCTAAACCTGCTATGTTTCTTTGTAATGCACACTTTTATTTTTCTAGATGGAAAGATTTGAGATGAGAGAGTATTTGGATAGTGCCTCAAGGAAATGCAGCAGTGCTGCTTTTCTCATGTGTAAACCAGTTAGTATAATTTACTTTCTGTACATTGAAAAGGACTCTTACATTAAATGGCATTAAAGCATTAAACGTAAATGCTAATTCAGTTTTTTTTTTAATTCATAATGACTTCAGTGAAAAGCACTGTTGTCATTCTCCCCCTTCCTTTCATTAATGTACAAGGAGTCATACTGTATTGTACTTGGAAAAATAGGGATTCAAAAATAATGCTAGTGATACATGGTTGAAAAGTTAGGATAATTATCTGAAAATCTTAAATTTCACTTACATTTGAAATGTCATTAAATATAACTAATGTTAAATTGCAAGAGCCTAATAACAATATTTTTTCAATCAATCCTTTAACTCTTGTTCTTGGCTCAATTTGAGGTATATACATTTAGTGAGAATGTCCATGGAGATCAGATTATTAAGTTTAGTTTAGGTTTTGAACTGTGACTAATCTCCTCCTCCAATAATAACTTCTAAAATATCATACATGCACACCGAAGTTAACTTCCTCAACCCTGCTGTTGTCAAGCTTAATAATTCATTTTGTTAGTACATTTTTGAATTAATATTTCATCAGAGTTCCTTTGACCTGTATTCTACATCTAATTCTGGTTTAATTCTTTCATTCCTGGTATACATTTATGCCCTGTATATAACTCCCGTGAAACATTGGCCCATTACGTTCAGCATGACTGATATATTGACAAGGGTATACACATTCCTTTCTTTCCATATTAGCTTAATGAAGCTTCTGTATGACATAATCAAAGACATTTCTCTTTAGGTACAGACTCTTGGACAAATTGAAGTAGTCATATGGCCCATTTTGACCTAAGCCATGCTGTTCTGATACCATATTTTTTTTGGTTTTTCACATACCTCTGGGGAAAATAAATCTATATATGCACATATATATTTGTGCTCTTCTGATGCAGGACTACATGCAGAATGTTCATGGAAAAGAAATTGATCTTCTTCGAACCACAGTTAAAGTTCCAGGAAAGAGGCCACCTCGCGCCACATCAGCATGTGCGCCCATCTCCAGTCCAAAAACAAATGGCTTGTCCAAAGACATGAGCAGCTTACATATCTCACCAAACTCTGGTAAGTTAAATTTTAAATGTTGTGGCCACAATGATTTTATCGTTGCTTTCATCTTTGTATTAATGAATAAACTAAAATACCAAATAGGCAATTATATATATTTCATATTACATGCCTCCTTGTGAATACATTTATTTATTTATTATTTTGATTTATATGCTGCTACAATAGCCCATATTGTTATTGTCTTGTGAGTAAACACAGTAAAGATAAAAATAATTGCCATGCCATTGGTTCTAGATGTAACAAGAATCAACACATTGCTGCTTTCACCAGTTCACTTTGAGTTACTTATGCTCCAATCATATACATATTTACCTGAGAGTAAGTCCCTGAACTTATTTGGGGCTTACTGCTGAGAACATCTGCATTGTAGTGTTCTGTAAAGCAATGTTGTATGTACATTTATTCAAGAAAAAGTTCCATTTAATTCAGTGTGACCAATATCTGAGTAGAAGTGCATAAGACTGACTGTGATTCTGTCTGGACTATACAATTTCAGACTACAAGTGGGAGGGCCCCATGATGAAGAACTACATTTATTTATTTATATTTTCATTTATATGCCACCAAATACTTAAAGTCTCTAGGCAGCTTACAAAATCATGTAAGTACATTTTAAAATAAAAAGATTTAGCATTTTAAAAGCCTTACAATTTTTAAAACCAAATATAATCAGTAATGCAAGAGCATCAAATAAGTGAAAGGAGGTCAGGATCTGTTGAAATAAATATTAAAAAGGAACATTTACGCACATAGAAAAAAAATCTCATTAGCTGAATGACAAGGGTACTAGTCAGGCCATCCCTCATCCGTCTCATGTTCCATTAAAGGTGAGAGGGTTGGATGGAGGAGCAGCCTACAATGTGCACTCCTACATGCAAGCTGAAGTGTTGCAGCCCCCACACGGATTTGCTGTATCAGTGAAAGCTGGCTCTTGATGTAGCCTCTGAAATGTCTTGATTGGTGTACAGAACGCAACAGTGCCAAGGACTGATTTAGATTATAATAGCAGAGTATACTTTTGAGCAAACAGTGAGTGAGGGATGCTAATGGGTAAAATTTCGGTTTGTGGATGTTTGCCACACCACTGTGTGACAACCTGGTACATCTGCCATTGCAGCCCTGCAGCTCAAATAGGCTATAAGGCACTCTTTGTCTATATTCCTGTGAGATGGTGTCACCATTCGTTGTATATTTTTAATATATTGTAACCTATGCATTGTCCTTTACCTTTTCAGGATGTTGTTTTCAATTCCTTAATGACCAGCTTAGCATTTAAGCCAAGCAGTCCAGTGCATGAGTGAAGCTAACCTTCAGAATAAATTAACTCCTGTGTCCAAATTCAGCATATTAAAAGAAACAAAGCAAGAGAATTTCAAACCAAGCAGAGTGCAGTTATTTAATCGGATGCTTTTTTCAAAATAAAAGGAGCATAATAATTAGATGTTGGGATCCTAAGACTAAATAATTGAAACAACTTCCAGGTAGTAGCAAGGGAAGAGACTCCCTGGGCCCTGAACTTGGCCTTGTCTAAGTTTTGCTCTTTGCCGGTCAACCCAAGACAAAGAGAAATGTTCTGTTAGAGCCATAGGTGTTGGGGGGTAGGGGTGGTCTTTTACAACCCAAGGTCTATGATATAGGGGGATCACTGCCCAGAGGAGGAAATTAAAACTGACCAATCAGTAACCTGGACAGACCTGACCCTGTGTTGTCCAGGTAACTAACTAGTCATGGAAGGAGGTGAATGGCAGCAGTCAGCCTAGAATGTGTAGAGGTTTAAATGCTGGGGTCATGATCTTTGTTCAGTGACTTTCTTGGAAAAGTGGGCGGAGGGGGGTGGTTAGTGCAAGTTACATAAAATGCAGTAAGCACTTTGTTCACACATTGCTTATGCTTGGGGTGGGCATCTTCATTTCTATTGCCAAGACTAAGTTCAATAGCTACTCCAGTAGCTTTTCTACTAATATCAGCAGCAATGTTGACTTCTCTCAGAGGTTCTGAGACTGGAAACAGTTGATACGTACCCAGAAATGCTTTGGCATTCAAGGGCTATAGCTAATTAGGCATATAGTGGAATGTAGTAAACAGGCTGTATATCATTTTCATGATTACCATGAATTCGAACAAAAAAAATATGGGGAAATGAGTTTATTTTACTTGAGCAGGGGGTGCAGAGGACTGAGTTTCAAGAATTTCAGGCATCTTGGACATGGAAGACAGAATCATCCAGGGAAAGGCGAGAAGAGAAGGCATCTTAAATGAGGAAGGTGGAAGAGAAGATGGGCAGGAAGGAGAACTGCTCAAGGCCAGGATCTATAGAGGTGAACAGTTGCACACTGATTCACTCAAAACAGGAGCAACTGAATAACTGAGAACTATTAGAGGCTATCTGCTAAAGGACTTCAGCAACTTACTCATTGGTGTGACTGAAATGTCCCCAGGCTTCTTATTTTAGGAAATGCAGTTGCTAGGTGGATATGGCATAGCTCACTACCTCCCTTTATTTGACTGCACGTAATTTATGCTTCCATGTCTCAGACCAGCTTACAGAATCTAAACACTGGCTTCCGTTAACAACAATTAAATGGGCTTATGTGCTCATTCGTGCTGTTCTAATTATTGTGAAGATGAAGGAGAATACTCACAAGTGCTCTTCAAATCTCCCCTCCTTTTTCTGGATGTTTATCATTGCATGTATCCAAGAGGAACTGAAATCTTTGGGCTTTGATGGATTTTGAAGCATTCCTAGCTACAACATAGGTTTTAAAATATGTATTCTTTTTGCCCCTCATAAAGGTAAAAGAAGCCAGTAATTTCTTATACAATGTTAAAGGAGTACAGTTATATTTTATTTGAAAGAATATGTGGCTTTGTGCTGCTTAATGTTATTTTATGCATGATAATGGACTTTTCAGCAGTGGGCATATGTCTGAATTCGGCATCACAGATGTGCAAATGGATATGAAACTTTTCAAATCCATTTTTATAACTGACTGGCCATGCATGTGTGATTGTAACTTTGGAACACAAGGTCTCCTGGGATGCTGATTAGACAGTGATCTACCAATGTTGCCTTCTCTTTTGTCTGCCCCCTCCTCTCATGGTCTCTTTAAGTTCTGTGTTCTGTTCCTTGTCTGCTACTGTCTAGTCCCTTGCCTTGGTGGTCAATGCCAAGAGGCACGCAACTTTCTGAGGTTCAAGTTAGAACTTCCTTTCACCGTCCCCAGCCTCTTACTTACAGGAGCAAAAGCCTCTTTGCCCATCCCTCTAAAGCAGGGATTACCCTTCAGATATTTTGACATTTGTTTTTCTTATGGGCCATCAAGTCAGCTCCAACTTATGCTGACCCTATGAATGAAAGCCCTCCAGAATGTCCTGCCATTGACAGCCCTGCTCAGCTTTTGTAAAATCAAGGCTGTGGCTGCCTTTATGAAGTAAGTCTCATCTCATAATTGGTCTTCCTTTTCTTCTGTCTTCTTTTGGTCTTCTTCTGGCGATCTTTTCCCCAGCATGATTGTCTTCCCCAGTAAGTTTTGCCTTCTCATGATGTGTCCAAAGTAAGAGAGCCACCATTTTGTCATTTTTGCTTCAAGGGAAAGCTCTGGTTTGATTTAATCTAGGAGCCACGTATTCATCTTTCTGTCAATCCAGGGTAATCACAAAGCTGTCCTCCAGCACCATGTTTCGAATGCATCAGCTTTCTTCCTCTTGTCTTTCTTCACTGTCCAGCTTTACACCCATAGATTGCGATCAGGAATACACTGGTTTGGATGAACTTGGTCTTGGTCTCTAGTGAAGCGTCCTTACACTTGATGATCTTTTCTAGTTCCTTAATTGCTGCCCTTCCAAAACTCAGTCTTCTTCAGATTTCTTGGCTACAGTCTATTTGAATTGATGACTGAGCCAAGGCATGCAAAATCACTCACAAGTTCAGTTCCTACACTGTTGTCATTCTATAAATCTTCTGTTGTTAAGAATTTTGTTTTCCTAATGTTAAGCTGCAGTCTTGCTTTTTTCTTTCACGTTCAGCAGGAGCTGTTTCAGTTCAGTGCTGCTTTCTGCCAGTAAGATGGTATCACTTGTGTATCTTTAATAATGTGTCTTGCACTAGTTTTAGCTCCTTGCCCTGATTTTAATCCAGCTTTCTTTATGATATGTTTTTCACAGAGATTGGACTGTATCTTAAAACTGCTGCTTTTTTCTTAGCTGGTCTTATCTCCTATTTGTGTGTGTTTTAGCAGATGGTTTTATACTGTATTTTCATCATGTGGGGTTTATATATACTTTTGTATATTTCTTATGCTGAATTTATACTGTATTGTGCTTTTCAATTCTTACCATTTGACCATTGCTTATCAGGTTTGACCATTGCTGGTGAGATGATAAGAAAATGGGGCAGTGGCCACAACTGAGGAGCAGGTACTCTGGATCCAAAAGGATCTGGGCAGACTATGGAAGTGGGCAGGGGACAGCAGGATGGCGTTCAATGCAGATAAGTGCAAGGTCTCGCACTTGGGGAATAGGAATGGGTGTCTTAAGTACAGGTTAGGGGACAAGTGGCTGGAGAGCAGCACATGTGAAAGGAATCTCAGGGTGTTGGTTGACTACAGGCTAAACAGGCACCAGCAGTGTGACATGGTGGACAAGAGGGCGAATGCCACCCTTCAACGCATAGCCAGAAACATGGCTTCTAGATCGAGAGAGGTATTACTGCCACTCTATACGACTCTGGTGTGCCCGCAGCTGAAGTACTGCATTCAACTCTTGGGCCTCTCATTACAAGAGGGATATAGCAAGATTGGAATCAGTGCAGCAAAGGGCCATTAGGATGGTGGCTGGTTTGCACAGTAAGCCATGTGAGGAGAGACTGAGGGAGCTGGGTCTTTTCAGCCTTGAGAGGAGGAGACTCAGAGGGGACCTGTTAGTGACAAACAGGTACATGACAGGGTGCCACACAGAGGTGGGTTGTGATCTTTTTTCCTTCGTGGTGGAGGACA